TAACGGTAACGTAACGTAACTAACTAAACGAACTAACGAACGTAACGTACGTAACGTAAGTAACGAACTAACACTACGACCACCACTACACTAGTAGTATCTCTCTCTCTCTCTCTCTCTCTCTCTCTCTCTCTCTCTCTCTATATATATATATATATATATATATATGTATGTATATACATATGCACATGTGTTTGTGTGCGCGTGTGGGGCCAACTACCTTTTATCAGTGCGGCATGAGTCAAAGGGACCATTTTTTGTCATTTTTCAAAACAACCACCTAGTTTGTGAATTTCAAACCAGTGATAGACTTTGAAACCCAGCGCTTTTCTTGTAACAATCTACTTTCCTAAACCAGTAGCATCTTTGTAATTACCTAAAAGAAGGTCGAGAAGGTTAAGGAAAGAAAAGGAATGTGGATGATATTTGTTCTTACATAGGATCAAGTGCTAACTTCTGAATCTCTTTGATAGCCCAACTAGCCGAATATACAGCCATCTTACCAACCTGCTTGCATAATACCAAAATAATACCCAGTATAAGAATTGCAACAATTCTGCTTTTCTAGAATATATTTAATCAGAGGAGATTAAAAAATTACAAGGAATATATCCACTGGACTATGTAAAATCATAGTCCATTGGGGCACAGTGCAATGGACAATGATGGAGAGAGTAGGATGCGCTAATGGATCCCACTTTCCCTTCAACACCATCCATTCTATTGGAAGGTGATTCAGAAGGACTATGGTGCGCATCCTCCATTAGGAATATAGTTAAATTTCCCTGGAACAGTTAGTGTAATCACTGCAACACATTAATCTTATCTAACCTGCAACATATTCTGTTTTGCTGCATGTTTATCGGAAAGAGAGCGGATCTCTTGTGCCAAGCGTAAAGATTCCCCTAAGCTTTCAGGGGAAAGGAAGTTCATACTCAATTGTACACAAGACTGCAAATCCAATAACAACAAAGATTCAGAATATTGCTCCAACAAACCTATTTTCCTAAAGTATATTACAATGCATTGCATTGGACTATGGAAAACCATACTCCACAGATCCATTGGGTCAAAACAGTCTGACAAAATGATGGTCGGTGATGGAGAGAGTAGAGCCCTCTTTGAGTTCATGCACAATTTTAGTGGCTCCCAATCTCCATCATTTCACTGAACGGTGATCACCCCAATGGACTATGTTCTTCCATTGCCCATTGGATTAGAGTGTACTTCCCTTTTCTTAATAAACAAGCTCAAACACTGTGATTAGGAACAAGTTTCTTAGATTATGACTTGGAGGGACCATACCTGAAGATTTCTTGCTTGAAAAGGGCACCCCGCAGGGATAAAAACTGCCTCACCAACTTGTTGTTCAAATGTCCATGGTTCGACATCTACAATGACAGTATGGAATTAGTCATCAATTTCAAGATGGCACAGTGAATAAACCATGAACAAGAAATTAGAAAGTCTGACAAGGATATAGAAAGGTAGAGTGTCTTTCCAAAGAAAGTGGGGTAGCCAGGAAGCAGGCAACGAATGAACAAACATGATAATAAGTGTAAGTGAGATCAGAATAAAATAGGGGTAAGGATTTAGATCTAAAGAAAATGGCTCATTAAACAAAATTCTAGAAAAATTGAAGGAAAGCCAAGTAAAAATCTTGCTCACAGATAGGACTCGAATGGGTATACTCCTGTTTAAAAATCAGTAATTAGTTTAGTTGGAAAATGAAAGCCAAGTACCAAGTGTGCTAATAAAATTTAATGATGGTAATAAAATTATTTGTATTGTGGCCAAAGTAATTTGGACACGAGCGTCCATGGCTGCTGGCATGTGTCGACACGCAAAGGACATGATACGGTGTCTGATACCTTAGAAATTAGACACATTTGCTTAACCTATTTTTTGTAAATGATAATATGAAAGTACTAAATGTCACTATTAAAATCTCAGCTAATCCCCCCTATATATAATGTAAGACTGTCACACATGAGATACCAATTTCAGGATAGTGTTTCTGCTCAGATATCAGTCTTTAACATAGATTTTCACCAAGTTACACAAATTCAGATCCCCTGACTAGTCTCCCATTTGCGGCTTCCAGATTTAAATTTGACTATGATTCTTAGAACAAACTCAAAAGCTTCACAAACTAACCCCAACCATTAAATAGTGCAAGAAGGGCAAGAACATACAAAGAAACTGAGAAGCTGATCACAAGTTGAAACATAAAAAGGAATAAGTTGCACATACCAAATTCCTCCTTCAACTTCCTCTTGTGCTCTTCATTCAAGAAAACAACTTGATCCAGCAGAGGTCTTGTACCCTGACATGCAGAACAAAATAATTACCACGCACTACTTGGTCTACCAAATTATTACTTTTGGTCTCATTATCAGATTCCTACTGTCACTCAAACAACCCATGAGACCTGTCCTCACATGGAATACACCTGACAGTGGAGCATACCAAGTGACTATGGAGTTGCAGGTAACATAAGCCTACATGTGACATACCCATAGTAATTTTTAATTATTTTCAAAGTATTTAAGAGAGGATAAATTTCATCTAAAAGAGGAGGGTGGTTTAGAAAATTGAGGAAAAGAGGCACCATAGATGACAATTTTCAAGAGAGGAGGCCTCTACCACCTGCCTTCTGATGAAGAGGCACATCATCAGTCTTTCAACATTTCAAAAGCATCGTATGAAAAATGGCTAGTTCAAAAAGCTTTTAAAACACAATGTTCTGCGGCCCCTTCACCAAGGGGTGACATGCCTCGATTTGGACCGCTGCTTTTACAAGTGGGTGGAAAGAGCTGGTACCAGGACATGGCTCTCTTTGAGACAGAACAGCCATTTTCTTACATGAGATGATATTACTTGCTTGAGTCACCCAAGCATGCATGCACACGCACACATGGAGGGACACATGCACACATAGAGAGAAAGAGAGGCAGGGAGACAGTGAGGATTGACAAGTGCTCTTCTTGGAGATTAATGCCCAACTTACTGAATTAAACTGGTGGCAACCAAAATGCCTGAATTCCCGCCAATGGACTTTTAAATATTCATTAAGCTTAGCAACATCCTGCCTGCGGAAAATATCCCAATGAACTCCGCCACGGGTTCTATCCAGTGCATCATTATCACCTCCAATGACAGATGGTGATGTACCAATTTCCTTTCTCTCGCTAGGAACGGACTTGCTCTTTCCAGACAACTCAGTTGCACTAGAGGAGACATGGTCATCCACAACATCAGCTGCTTCAGAATTCAAACTACACCCCACATCATCTTGCTTACTTCGTTCAGTAGCTTGACTGGGTGACTTCTCTCTCTCATCAACATTATGTTTAGTTTCAATAGCCTGCAAATCAGCTGATGCTTGTGCATCTATTGCTCTAAATGTCTTTTGTATCTTCTCAATCTTAGCACGTTGCCAACCTTGAAACTTCACTTCACATGTATGCATCAATAGATAGACCTGGATGGAGTTGATATGGAAAAGAATGAGTAACTTTTCTTTGATATGGAGTTGATCTATATATATGGTATATATAGATCAAAGTTCCTTAGCAGCAATTTTAAGAGTCTCTTGTCTACCAATATCATTTGAGGTAGATGAAATTAAAAAATGAAACCAAAACAAGGATATTATTTTCCAATAAAAAACAAAAAATCATGAAGTTTCTTTGAGAGATTTTGCACCTAAGGACATGAGAAAAAAAAAAAACATTTCATGAGATAAGAACTTCATAAAATCCTCCAGTTTCCCCACTACTCTGTAGAAGAAAAAATAAGCTAAAAACTCCTCCGCATAACTTGCCGAACAATGGTAACAGTTTCAGCTGGATGATTGTAAACGGTCACAAAGTACCCTATACTATTTTAGTTGAATGCCTTGCACATAACTTCTTGTAATTTCAGAAGCAACAGATATTACTCTATACTTTAAAAAAATGTCAAAAGGACAGAAGGATCTACCGGATCTTGGCTGAGTAGTGAAAGAAGATATGAGATAGGAGAGAAACCAATGCCCAAAAAGATGCTTCAGCAAATACTGGTGTGACTGAAGACAGTTCTGTTTTTTTTTTGGGGTGTGTGTGTGTGTGTTTTTCATTTTTTTAATATACATATGGGTTTTTTGGGGGGGTGGTTTATCGTAGGCAAGATGGTCACATTGATCTAACACCTACTGATCCTATGCATTTTGTACTTCATTCAAATGTTTTAATAAATATTACTTAAAAGAGAAAGAAAAGCTGAATTATATTTAAAGGACTAGTGTTATGTTACTGGAAAGGAATGGAACCATTAATGATAGCGTGTTAGAGCCAGAAGAAAGCACTCAGGTACACAGCAAAACATGAAATTTTGCTCGATATCAAAATGTAGCATGACAAAAACATGTGAAGCAAAATGAACCAGGAGTTAACTGGAATAAAGTTTGCAATGTGCAAGTTCTGCCTCCTACCATGCACTTTGCTAATGGAATTTCCCTACTAAAGCTAATGCTATGCAAATCAGAGGCACTGGACCCAAACTTAACAAATGAATTTCCATGGTGTACTTTTGCAACTGCAATTGACACAAGCTAGTACTTGGTCCCGTATAGCTAAAAATATTGTGACTAAATACTTCATGATTATTATTATAAGGAGTTAAAAACTGGGTTGAAATATTGAGTTCAAGATGCTGAGCAACATGGAAAAGGGAAATATATAAGAGTGAGGCACATACCACATCACCCATATTATAGTGGAGTTTTGTTGTAGAATCACCTCGACCAAGTTCTCCATATGTCCCATAAGCAATAGAGATCTTAGGTCCTAGATCTGACTTTAGAGAACCATGGGGTAACTTTGTGGCAAGATTGAGAAGACCCCACTTGGAATGAATATACTCAAGCACTGGCAGTGTACTGATAAACTCAGCTCTTTGGTATGACAGGAATTCCTCCAAGGAATTTTGAGATGGCCAATCTTTCAACTTCAACATTTCTGGCCAACCATTTTCATGGATCCGCCCCTCTGAATAGCCTTTCAAGAACTGCCCCAGATTAATCTCAACCTGTCACATGTAAAAACATCGCTAACACATCAAATTTGAAAATAGCAACAGTATAGATACTATCTAACTCAGTATGGTATCAAAATGCAGAGCAGAGAAATGACCAATTCTGTTAAAACTTCCAAGAATATATACCTCCGACCAGTCAAGGCAATCTATAGATTTTACATCTCGATCATCATTTCTCATCTTTTCATCTTCAGTTTCCCGAATTCCTCTCCAAATAACCATGGGATCCCAGCTAGAAACTGATGCACTATCAAATGCATGCTTCACGATAACTGGTTCGCCTCTGACCCAATGCTTCTGAAAATGATAGACACCTTCAAGTTTGATATCATAAGATGATGGATAATAGAGGAAATTGTCCGTGCTATCCTTTCGGAAAGCTGTTTGGCGGAGATTAGAATTTACAAATTGACTGCTTTCAGAAGGTAAGCTCGTCAAGCAAAAAAAGCATGAGTCCAAATGTTCGGGCTCTTGGACCTTACAGCCATTAACCAATTCCTCGGTGTCTTTCTCTAGTTTTCTAATCCAATTGATTTTGAAAATGCGCATTAGAACCAATGATTTGCAACCACAACCACCATAATCCTCTGGGGGGCATGGAATACTTCCATCACTATTGACTTTCCACAAAGGACATGGAAGACAATATCTCATCGTATCCACATCCATATCTTCTGGATCAGTTGTTGCATGAATAACCCCATCCTTTCCACTCTCCACAACTTGGGTTCCCTCCCTTTTAATCTTCAAACCAATCCGACACGCTTGTCTAACATCCAGGCAGCAAGCAAGGCATAGATCATACGAACAATTTCCACAGCGTCTATGGTAGTCAACAATAACACTCCCACAGCGGTTGCTGCCCAGAAACACACAAAAATCTCATTTAAAAAAAAATGAGGTTTAATTCAACCATAATTGTAAAACAAGCACTCTATTCAAAAAACTTATATACTTTACAAAAATAAATTGTGATTGTAGAAGTTAAAAGCTTGAGAATGATACCAACATATCTGCTCATCTGAGTTCAACTTGCTTCTGGGAACATCGCCCTTAAATCCTGGAAGGCAAGGTGATTTTAGCACATGCAAGTTAATGAATATCTCATAGATCCAATACAGTAGTGCTTAACTTCCTCACATGACAGTTAAGTGTAAATCAGTGTTGTCAGAACGGGACCTGGACCGGCCAGTCGAACCAGGAAGCAGTGAACCAGTAGTCATACAGGTCCGGATGAACCTCCGGACTAAAAGGGCCGTTGAACTTGTCTCAATGGACAGGCTATCCAGGATGTAGCTGGGAAAGGTCAAAGTTAATTGTTTCTTTTTACTTTCTAACTTAAAAAAGTGTTCTTGTAGGAGGCTTTTCAGTACTTTTGAATTTGATGAGGAGAATTCGGTTAGATGAAACAGTAGGGTGGTTTTTTGGTTATAAAAAGTACCTTTCTTAGAAAGAAAGGATTTCGTGGACCTCTCTCCCCAGGTCTCTGTCAACCAAAAAAACAAAAAAACTAAGTTTTGGGCAAAAATGTTTTGACAGAATTCCTCACACAGGCTCATAGTTTTGAGACATTGATAGATAAGAACCGAAATCTCACTGAAACAAAATTTTCAGTCTATCTCTCTACAAGGAACTTAAAATTCAGTCATCTCTCTCTCTCTCTCTCTCTCTCTCTCTCTCACACACACACACACACACACACATCTAGGCTCACTCAAATTAGCCCTAGTTTCCCACTTCTATTTTCTATCTTCTCATTTATGTATTTTGCATCATGCCAATTCTATTTGTTGTATATGCATGGTAAGAAGTTAGTTTTTCTGGTTTCTATCTCATTCTCTGCGACTTTTTTGCGGCAAAATTTCAGCCATATATGATGACCTCCGATCTGCTGCCCTTGAGTGGTTTGTGTCAGAAATGGATATTTTAGAAGTCTAGCATTTTCCTAATATTTTTTTAAAATTTTCCTCATTCTTCTATGCATTTTCTAGATTTTCCATATTCTATTTTTCCAATTTTTTCTATTTTTATTATAATTTTCAATTTTTAATTTTATGATCAGTCTAGTCAGGTCTGACCGGACCATCGTTGCCCTCACTGACTCGACTACGAGTCCAGTCCTGACAACACTGGTATAAATATCAAAACCACTTACCATGAACCTTGGTTTCAGCTTCCAATTCCATATTCTGTTCTATGTCAATCTGCTTGAGTACAGGAAGAACCAAAGATAGTAGGTGATGGATATATCGCAATTTATCGTGGCCAGGTATCTCCTGAATCCTGACCTGAGAAAATGAAATATTGTAGTTTGTAACTGATTTCAATATCTTACTACAGAGGACAAGTATTTGAGGAAATAAAACAGGAAAAAAATGAAAAATATTGTGCCTCCTATATAGACTGTAGAAATAGAACCATTGCACCAAACACCTATGCATGTCAATTTAACTGCTGCTTGCAAACACAAGCACACATGCATGCACAGTTGGATAGCTGGATAAATTACTGATAACAAAAAAGGAAGATACATAAATGGATAGAGATATACAGGATGGTAATTATATTCTTAAGGTAAGCTACCTTTATCAGGTTGTCTCCACATAAGCACACTTTGCAATTGCAAGTCCCGCGGCACACTGGACAGACCCTTTGGATTTCCTCTGGGGGAATATCAGGATACCTACGAACAGAAAATTAATTGCTAAAGCTTTTGCTTATGCTAAATGAAAATAGTACCGCTATTTCATTCAAGCAAGCTTACGCAAATATCAAAACATCAGTATAGACCACATTCCTACCATTTAGAAAGGCAGCTGTTGCAATAGCCTCTTCTATTGCAGTTCATACACCAGTTTATTTTCCCTTTATAACTCTTCTGACACTGGTGGCAAGTTTGCCCGCTTGCCTCACCTGATGAATCAGTGCTTTTACCTGAATATTCCTGAAGAATGGTACCAAAAATTTAGGAAAACGAGAATTGGAAATACTCTTTCTATTTATCCTTTTTTGGTGTGGGCGGCACAAATGGAAAGTAACATAAACCAAGAAAATGCCATGGCACTCACCACCGGAACCTTGCCAGCTGAGCTTTTTGGGGTTTTATTTCTAGAAGTCACAATGGAAGGGTGCAGCTTTGAAGCAGATTTGGTTTTGTTGTCATCACTATGAGCTAAGTCTCTTTGTGCATCCTCATTCAATTTCACGGCACTACGGGTAACTGAACCTTTCACTGGCACTTCTTTGGGAGCATAAGAAGATTGATTTTTGGCCACCTTCTCCTTGGACTTTTTACCCGTAGTTGCAGGTGAAATTTCATGCCCCCCTTTTGCATTAGTTAGAGGCTTCTCAATCTCATCCTTCTTATTATCCACATAGGTATCACTTTCATCTGTTGACTTCTTTTTTGCTTTCTTCAGACTTGCCCTCAGGGCAGAATTTGCTGCTCTCTTCTTTGCTTGAATGTAGTGTTTTTCACATACCGTTTTATCTGGCATAGATAAAGCATTGCATCTCCATTGCTTCCCGTCTGATCTTTTACAACGCATATCATCTGGGATCCCCACATGGTCCTCCATTCTCGCCAAGTATGTAAAGTTTATGTTGAGCTGCTTAGCCAAAAAAATAGTTTATGAACTTCCAAATAAACCGTGATACCACAAAGAATTCCTTCAAGATTATTGTCTTAAAAAAGAATTGGACAGCCCAAATTTGATGGAGGATAGCATAGATAATTAATAAATGCACAACGATGTGAATCTGCACTAGTTTATTCCCAACCAAAATGTAGTTTGCAACTGCAGGAATCTTTGGATGAGCTTGTATGTTAATCACACTAACATTAAAATTTCAACTCAAGCGCAGCCCCCACTACAGAAAGAAATGGAGCTGTAGATTAATGAAAAAAAAAAGTCAGTTTTCTGATGCTGTAAATAATTCAACCCAGAAAATACAACAAAAGATAATCAGGCAGACTGCATCAATCTTAACAGCAGAAAACAAAATGAACATCCACATAACAATAAACATGGATGAGAAAGTCAATCATATTATTAAAAAAGTAGTACAATAATAAAGTTCTGATAAGATGCCAACATGTAGTTCAAATTATTCACTACAAACAAAAGTGCACCTTCAGCAAATGGGACCCCACCCCCAGCAGCAAGCTGCTAAGCACCCAACCGCAGAGGGGCAGGTCATTATCTACATTCCAGGGATTCATTGATCATCTATATTTCATTACATCAAGAAAAAAAGTTAAAAAAAAAAGGAACCAATAAGAGCGGAATACATGGCATAACTCACTTATCATGACTTGTGTTGATACCATGTTCTATTGCCACTGATCTATCCTTTCCTTTCTTTTCCTCAATGCTAACCAAAGAAGGGGTATGCCTCATTTTCATTTTATGCTACCATAAAGACAATATAGCATTAATTCCTGTTGCGTGAAAACAAAAATCCAACCTCCCAAGCCTAGGGATCAAGGACCATGCTTTCCTTATTCGAATTACTAGTGGAGCTCTTTATTCATCTTAACTGCTAGTTTTCAAGTCCAATCAAAACACTTACCAACCACGAGAAAAAACTAAAGGAAATGAGCTTTCTTTATATATTCATAAAAAGCTCCCCATACCGATCACCCCTAACAGGGACAAACAGACTCCCCTCCCCTTGTGCTCTATATACCATACAAAGGCCAAAATTAACTATTTGACTACAAGTCATTTATCTGTTTCACCTTTCGAGACTCTCTTAAAGATCTCACCTTCTTGTGCAAAATTCATGACGTCTCTAAATATCCAAGGACAGGAATATACCAAGCTTATAGCTAAAACATCAACCAAAAGGCATTTTACCCCCATGACTCATGGCAAACCCCCTCTAAAGTGCTTTCAACACTCCTAAGGAGTGTACTGTAACAGGGAAAAGGGAAAGCTTCGAATATTCCGCTTTACCCGGCACTGTAGCTTTCACCCCATTTGATAGGAGCAGAAGCTACTGTCAAATGGGAAAGTCAGTCGCCGGACTTTCCCTAAAAGTGGGGCAACCAGCAGCCCACATCACCCCCTAGGGATGCAGGTTTCATGGTAAAATTAACTCTAGATTCTCAACTTTAAAGCATGTTTCCATATGATTTATTTTCTTATTCAGCATGAGCCTCTCTCGTGCTAGGATGTGAGCCTAATTCTCTCTTTCTCACCACAAAAGCGTACTTCTCTCTCTTTCTCACTCTCTTCCCCTGGAATCTGCTTTTTTCTCCAAAATCCAGCATCCCTCTCTTTGAAAGATAAACTTCAATATCGAATTGATGAATTACATAATGAACAGTTAAAACAGGCAGTTTCCAGTTATCTTGAAGCGTTTGACTGCAGATTTCATGGAGGAGCATGGAATCCACCGATGCCCTTTTTTACACTATTTTGGAAGCCGCAGCTCAAAAAATAGCATATCGCTTCCGAATATCAAACACTGGAAGCTCTACAGTTCCGGGAAGATGCGGCGTCCCATTATCAAACTCGACCCACAGGTTACCAAATAGGGAAAACTGCCACATCAGGGAATCCAAACAGCTAACCAAACACCTAGTTTTCAGGTTACCCAGCTCCCCACATACTCCAAGGAGAAACAGCGAGGGAAGTTACCAATCCCCTCCCCCCCCAAAAAAAAAAAACACCCCACACCCACAAAACAATCCACACAAAATCTAATATCCTCCTTATGAGCTTCTAAAACATTTCCTTTGCTCCAAGCAACTCTTCAACCACTTGACATGGTACCAACCCCACCACGTCAGGTTCTCATTATCCCCTAATTATACACACTTCAAAATGTTTAATTGTTAGTTCAACCCAACTAGGTCCTATTTCTACATTGGACAGAACCAATGTCAATCAACTCCTTATGGACTGAATCCTCCAAATGGTTTAGTTCTAGCGGTTAGAGCCAAGAACTGCAATCCATCACAAAATTTATGTGTCATATGAATGAGATCTCAATAGGCATAAAAAATTGCCAAATCCAAGCATGTGGCTTTATGCTAAGTTTGCCACCATATATGATATAATATTTAGAAACCAGTGTGTCCCGTCTGTGCTCCCCCCAAAACTCCCCCTGTACTTCTTGGCTAGCTCCACATCAATTTGTCACTGCCATCGTAATCAGGTCTCAATTGAACCTAGTATATTTTATGCTAATTGTAGCTATGACTTGAAGGGGCATAAGTATTTAAAAGGCAGATATCTTTTACTGTCATAAAGAAATAAAGATGCCTATGCTCATCTCAATCTAGCCTCTCAAGGAAACTGAATAAGCAAGCATGCATGAGCACCGGATGACCATGATTGTGTAAAAACCACTAGACTCATGTGCAAATTAAAAAGACGCACAATTTGCTTTCATAGATATGTAGAAGGACACAACAAGTGAATGAGAAGTGCAGTTGTCATCAATCTCCTGACAATTATTTAAGGTTTAAAGCACATGTTACATTAACAAGGAATCGTGCTATCATCTCAATGATTTATATGCATTTTATCTAATATACACTTTCTTCTAATATGTTCATTGAATGAGGCAATTCTCCTACTTCATCAACACTTAGTAGGGCTGCTAATCATGTTGGGCATAGGGGACGTCAGAATGGGACCGGAAGATCAGGTCTGGGTCCAAGAAATCTGGACATGATCTAGTCCAGGTCTGGCCAAGCCTGGCTGTGTGTGTGTGTGTGTGTGTATAACCATCTAAATCCGAGACGCCACACCCAACCTGGCTGGGTTTGGTCTGGGTCGAATCCGCACCCTACCAGGCCGGGCCAAGTCAGGTCGACCCCAGTCAGACACGATATGTTCGCAGCCCTATTTGTCAAACTTTAGGTTAACCAATGTACACAATTGGCAACCTCAATATCCATCTTTCCCACAATTCTCATCTCGGGCTCATGTGCAATTCAACTCTAAAGACCAAAAGCAAGAATAAACAACAAGTTTCCTATAATAACTTCTCTTGCCAAGAAGCTCAGATTGAACATATGGAACATAATGCTGGAATTTTTTTCATCAGTTTGAAATTGTGAGGGTATCCTCAGTTGCGATTGGTGAGTCACTTATTCATCAATGTCATTAAGGACTAGGGCATTAGACAATTTGTTCCTATGGTATCCATTATATTCATATTTTCTAAAACTATACCAAATCATTGAAAAATTGTTTTGCACAAATTGATTATATATATAGGTGTTGGATGATAACCAGATTGCATCTTCGGCTAAGCAAAACATTATGCATAGATGGTGAACTAGATGCATCCTAGTTGAGTAGAAGTGGCCATGAATGTTAAAATATGACTATAATTTTGATTTTCCCTAGCACAAGAACTACATAAAATTTTCCCGACTTTTTTACAATTTACCAACACGTTATCACCTATAAAGAGAACCTAGGGCAATAACACAATATCTTCAAACCACTTATTCAATCAAATGGCTCATTTAGCTCCCCAACTATGCAAACTCAGTAATAATATGCTGATTATTATTGGGACAGGACTGCTTGGATAGCTGCTAGATGGAATCTAGATTCCCTATTTGGGTCCTCTATTGGTATAACATGGGGTTCCAGTTTTAATCTATTTTCATCTTAAAAAGAGGAACTCATTAGGTTTATCTCAGATATTTCAGAATGTGGTATAGTATTTCTTATTTTAAATAAAATAAAATAGGGCTACGGCGGCACACCCAGAATTGTACTTCCTTTGAAGATCAAAAGTAATTACAAAAATTATGTGGAAAAAAAAAATTTTTTGATTCTGGAGTATATATTCCAAACACGGAATGTACAGAGTATATAACCACTAGTTATATAGAAATCAAGGTCCAATCTGAATCCAAAGTGACATATAATTCATAGACCAGATACACCACCATCGAATAAGTCTCAAACTGTGCAATTAACTCATTGGGCACATTGATTTTAATGAGTAAAACATCGACCAATTATTCAATTTACATGTATGTTTATCCATTACATCCTCATATTTAAAAAAATCTAACACAAACCATACAATAAAAAGAAAAAGAATGACGGTAGTCCATCAGAAAAAGAAAACAAGACAAGCAAACAAATGAAGCATTGATAGCACACTGACAAACGATTCTTATCTTCTATCAAATTTAACATCTATATCAGTAAGCGATATACTTTTTCTTTGAGAATATCCGTAAGCAATATATGGACCAAAAATCTATCTTTCTTCCAATACATACCATCTCATGAAATATTCTAAGGCAACGCTAGCATGATAAATAGTCAGAAGGAAGCACACTCCAATCCATTCGACATTGGAAAACCAACATCCATTGGGGTGATTACAGTACAACATAATGACCACATATAGAAAGAGAATGATTACACGACAGCAGAAGCTAATTTTGCTAACAAAGAAATGAGCAACAAAAATTGTTGGATACACAGAGGGGTATACACACATATATATGTATGTATGTGTATATAAGCAACAAAAAATACAGAAAAGAAAATCAGAAAATAAACATTTTACTAATGATTTTGGCAAAGGTAGTCAGCATATGCAAAGAGCAAAAGGAAATCAGCAGAAAAAATTGTTGGACACAAAGAAAGCACACTTTATGAGCCAAAAAAAGAAGCCAAGCCTGTGAAATTTTGGCAAGGAATTTCAGCCAAAAAAAAACAGAATTACAGAACATACACTGAGAACAAAGAAATCCAGCCAAAAGAAAGACAAAGAACTGTAAAAGGAACCATCGGAAAAAACAAATAACTTATTAATGTTTTCTCAAAGAAATACTAAACCACAGAAAAAAAAAAAGACAAAAAGAAAAAAAAAAAGAAAAAAAAGAAAGAAAGACTATACAAACAATCACTGTAAATAACTAATCTATGAAAATAAAATCTATGTAAATTACAAAACGAAACTAGGATTTTTTGGGGTTTTTTGTTTGGGGGGGTGGAGGGGTCTCAAAAACAATGACCAAGGATTGTCACAAATTTCAATCACACAAGATTTAGGGGAAAAAACGAAATCAGCATAATGGTGCCCTAATCAGAACCCACAAATGTTCAATACACGGATTGTCACGAAGTTTAATTGCCGTTGAGGATATGATAGCAACAAAAGAGAGAATTTAAAATTAAAAAAAAAAACAGAAAGAAGGTGTATACATACGTGGAAATATGGAATTCTATTAAAAGGAAAAATGGCGAGCTTCGATTTTTGTCAATGATATGAGGAGAATTCTTCTCCTTTACACACACAGTTGAAGCACGTAGGTTCTATGTAGGCGATGCAGGTTGAATGGAGATGTAAAAAAATAAAAAACAAGAATATCAACAAACTGAAACCCTATAACATAAATCAATAACACCACCATAAGACCAACGACAAGATAAACCCCAAAATAAAAATTAAACCACAATTATTCATCAGAAAACTGACAAAATCAATGAGTTCAGAAGAATACCTTCCGGTAAATATCAACGAAATAAAGCACGGGAGTTACTGCACGTAAAACCTAAGTTTTGAATGCCCAACCGCCACCGAACCGCCATGCAAACAATGAAGAGCAGCTGAGATAGCAGAACGAGAGGAAAACCAACAGGAAGATGATGAAATTAGGGTTTCTGGTTCCGATAAATTAGGGTTTCGAGGGAGCTAATTGATATGCACGCAGTCTCAGCGAAAATTCGTATGCGAAAGGAAACGAGGAAAGCTTTCTTCCATTCTGTATATTCTCTCTGGACTGTACGGTTCGTAGAAGCGAGGATGGAATTAGATCTTTGGGTAAATTACTAAAAAAGCCCCAATACTACATGCAACTTACCCGACCTAACTATTCCTCACAGTTTTTTCTCTACAACAAACTTTTGAGAAAAAAATAAATAAATAAATAAATAATAATAATAATAATAATAATAATAACTAAACTATCTTTCACACTATCGCATATGCCTCTCTCCACACTATCGCATATGCCTCTCTCCTCGACAGTAGAACTTACGAGACACGGAGCGTTCCAATAGTGGCAAAGGGCATTCAGCTGTTGAAAGTGGCGTTTCGGCAGTTGCAAATGGTGCTCCAGCAGTAGAATTTGTGAGACACATTGCTCCGACAGTAGCAAGGGGAGCGCCAACTGTATCACTCTATAGTGCTAAAGAGCACTTCGAGAACTTGTGAGACGTTAAATCTCGCCAAATTAGTTTTTTTATATGAGAAGGTATTACCGTCTAAAAAAATAAATTTTTTACGTTGAGGGGTTTTTACATAAAATATTTACTGTAGGGAAAAAAGTAAGAGAAAATATTTGAATGGGTAAGTTGCATGACTATTTTTTTTTCAAGGGGTTTCTTGTAATTGTTACTAGATCTTTTCGGGCGGGACTTAAGTAAAGGTAATTTGGTCATTTTCGAGACCCAAGGTATTTTAGTAATTTAGCCCTTGGAGAAATCTCAAAAAAATATAGCCAAAACATATTTTTGCTCGAGCGGGAGTAGAATGTCCATTTATCCCCTCAGGTAAAATACCAGTTACTTCTAATTTTAGGATTTGGAATTTTCAGGATGTAACCTTTCACTTACAGATTAACATCAATAAAAGAACTTCCCTAATTGTACCACACGTGAAATAAAATAATGTCTCGATATTGAAAATAAAGACTATCCAATTTTAGATGGTGATAAGTATTAGAAAACTGAAATTTTTATTTATTTTTTAAATATACATCTAGTAAATATTAAATGGCTTCCAAAACTTCAAATTGTAAAAATCCTCTATATCTAGAGTGTTTTTAATAATTTATAAACATTTCTTTTTTAGGGCCTGTTCTGATATGACGAAATTAAGAATTTTTTATATTTGAAATCCAAAAAAATCTAGAGATTTTCAATACCAAAAATTTCTATCCTGGATTCCCCAAATCTTTTATTTGGATAAACTATACAAAATTTATGGATTCCTTACAATCACTTCTATGTCTATTGTTTGGTAGCAAAACTTGATACAGTGTCTATAAAAATTTTGAGATAGTTTCTCTATCTAAATTTTAATATTGTTTCTCTCTCCATAATTTGACATACTTTCTACCCAGAACTTAAAATTTGAAATTGTTTCTCTAACAAATTTGATATAGTTTTTCTCTCTAAAATTTTTAGGTGCTTTCTCTATCTAAAATTTAATATAGTTTCTTTTTCTAAAATTTTAAGATACTCTCCCTCTTAAACTTAAAACTTTAGATAGTTCCCCCTTCAATAATTTCAAGATAGTTATCTCTCTAAACATTTTTGAGTAGTTTATCTCTCTAAACATTTTTAAGTAGTTTATCTCTCTAAAATATGACAATTTTTCTCTCAAATTTTAAGATACTAAACGTTAAAATTTGGGGTAGTTTTTCTTTAAAAAATTTATGGTAGTTTCTCTTTCTAACAATTTTTATATACTTTCTCTCTCTAGATTTTGATATAGTTACTCTCCTAAATTTTAATATTTTTTCTCTCTCTAAAACTTCAAGTTTGAGATAGTTTCTCTTCTAAATTTTAGAGATAATTTTTTTAAAATAAATTTGATATAGTGTCTTTCTAAAATTTGGCATACTTTCTCTATCTAAAGTTTAAAAGCTTAAATACTTTCTCTCTTCAAAACTTAAATTTTGAGAGTTTCTCTCTCCAATTTTTTTTTTAGACTTTTTTCTTTCTCTAAAAACTAAAGATACTTTCTCTATCTAAAATTTGATATATTTTATCTCTCTACAATTTTAAGATATTTTCTCTCTCTAGAACATAAATTTTACAATAGTTTCTCTCTTCATAAATTTTGAGATAGTTAGTTTCTCTCTCTAAATTTTGATATAATTTCTATCTCTAAAAAATTAATATATTTTTTTATCTCTAAAACTCAAAATTCGAGATAGTTTCTCTCTAAAATTAAAAAATCAAGGTAGTTTCTCCCTCTAAAAACTTGAGATATTTTTTTCTCTAAATTTTTTTTTTGGCAGTTTCTCTTTCAAAAAATTATAGTAGTTTATCTCTAAAAGTTTAAGAGTACTTCATCTCTTTACAATTTTAATAATACTTTTTCTCTCTAAATAATATTTGATTTAGTTTCTCTTTCTAATAATTTTGAGATGGTTTATATCTCTAAAACTTTTTAGATACTCTCTCTAAAATTTGACATAGTTTCTCTCTCTATAAATTACAATTTGAAGTGCTTTATCTCTTTAAAAATTTCATACTTATCAAATGTTCCCTATGTATTATTTCCATGATTTTGATTTTTCTTGATTTTAGTTATCCTAGTCATTAAGCAATCCAACCGGTGTATTTTGACAATATCTAAGATATTATAAATCTATGCCTTAAAATCCATATACCCAAACAACGGGCCCACTATTCTCACAACTAGAATCCCTTTTGAACTTCGAGCCTTCCACCATTTCAAACAAATACATAACCTTCCATATCTAAAAATGAATGTAAAATTAAACTCTTTTTCAAATCTAGTATGTGCTGCACATTTTTTAAGTATTCTAACCATTACATTACATATCCTTATGCAAACCGAATATACTCCAATTGTTTTACTAATTGAATCGTTTTTCATTAATACAAAATTGTCATCGCATGACTCATATGCATCAAACCATGATCTACATGGGCACAGGTGATGTGTTGCCATTATTAAGTATCAAAATTTAGTAGTACATGGGATTACATTCCACCGTCAATACCTCTTATTCATGATAATCGAAATTTGATTATGATCTACGTGGGTACAAGTGATGTGTCTCCATTATCAAGTATCAATTTTTAATAGTACATGGGATTACATTCCACAGTCATTGCCTGTCGTTCATGATAATCGCATTTTGATTATTTAACTTGGAGAGCATCATTCTTGCCTTCACCTTACCGTTTCATTCCAAACCATAACCCTTTGAGGAATGTAATTCTTTTGTTTTCTAATATTTTTTCTTTATGTTGTTGGGCTTTCCACAAAACTAATTACTACTTTTGTCATAGCACCCATCGATTTTGATCGGCTACTTGAACAATCTCTTATAAGACTACCCTGCTCATTCAATTGGCCTCTTGCAATAAGAACATCCATCCTTGAAACCATTTAACCATCTATCGACACCTTCTTTCAAAGTTCATTGATATGAAGTAGTCTACAAACCAAATCCAATTTGAAGGATTCTTTGTGGTTATAACTCAATGCAGTAACAAGGTAATCCTAAGATACAAGTAACGAGCACAACAACGTCATCATCTTATATTTCTCATCCATCTTCACTTCAATGCTCTCGAGTTGACAAATTATGTGGTTGAGATTATTGAGGGTTTAAACACTTTCATACCATCTCTCATACTCAAAAAGTACAATTTTATTTTTAAGATATTTTGATTTATAAAGGGATTTTATTTGCTACAAACTTTCTAGCTCTGTCTATAAGTTCACTGTCATCTTTTCCCCTACCATGTTAAATAGTTTTTCATTCACTAAACACAAGTAAATTGTGTTTCAAATAAAATAGTATTTCATTAAAATTCTATATTTCAAATTTGCAAGCTGTAATTTTCACAATTTGCTACATACATCCATTGAGCTCTTATACCTCTTATGGGGAAGATTTGTTCGATTACCCCATGTTGCGGTGAACCCTATTATTACCAATACAACATATCGAAACCAATTCACCTATCACCAACAAATAGATTATGAGAAATTCATATCCTAAAAATCATATATATGTAGTAAATTTAGGAAAGACGAAATGAAATCATGAGAAGTAAAACTAGAAAAGTTAAAACCACAACAACGTACTACAAGTTACAATCAAAGCACCGTTAACATACAAATATACATAAGTTCAACCTAATCGAGCTACATCCATAAACAAATTGACAAGGAAACAATTTCATTATAATTGAACAATTATAATATTTAAACTAATACATGGTTATCTCACCATCAGAAAATTGCAACCGATTTCTCTTTTCGAAACTATAAACAAAACAAAAAAAAAAAAAGCATCAATCCAACCTTCATTATCGACATGATATTTGTGGATCCGTCTACAACAGAAAATACTGATGAAACCCACTGACGGTCCAAAGAAACCTCACCCCAGATCAAGGGACACAATTAAAAGTTTTCCTACCAAGATGTATCCATTTCCCTCATCAGGAAAACATAAAATACCAGGGAAGCAATGACTATACATCGCATCGACGGTCTAGCTCCTCTCAGCAGCAACTGTGTTCATCTTGGGCCGTCCATCTCGACAGCGGACAAAACAAGCGAAGCCATCCTCACGTGCCCTCTCGACACCAGAAAGGGAAACCCCCCAGCGTCTGCTTAAAACGTCTACGGATATTTTAGCAATTTCCGGAAAAATCCATGGCAAATAGATAACGTTTCTTACTTTCAATATACCGTCCCCGTACGTCACCGAAAGGAAAAAAAAAAGCCTCCACTATTAGCTCTGCCTCTTTTCCCAAAGGAATGCCAGGAGCTATTTTATTCGGTGCTTTCATGGCTTCATGTTGGAATTTTAAACATTTTTTTTCAATTTTTCCAATTTCATTCCTGTAATTTTGCCTATTAGGGAATTCGTGGCACTTGTTACAGCAAGTTTTTGCTGAAGCCCTAATCTAGGGTTTTTTTTGGGTCACTCTCAGCGGATTTCGCCCACGAAAACCTAATTTTTTTGTTTCTCGCACTCCATGTGAGAATTTTCGCGAAATTTCGTTGAGAGACAGTATCTGGAGTTACCTGAGCTACATGGAGGGGGTGAAAGGGGCTTTATTTTCAGTGTCGGATGGTTTTTCTCCCCGCTTGTGAAAACTTCAAGGTGAATGTTTCTAGGGGGAGGAAAGGCGGGGTTTTCTTCTGAGAAATGGAGCGGCCGAAGGAGGTTTTGTTTGCAGAGTCGGATATTGGGAACTCGTTCGAGTCATTTGAAAGATGCTTGGAGTCTCAGAAGGAGCTGTTCCATTATCAGATCGAGCAGCTCGAGAAGATTGTTGCCTCCCAATGCAAGCTCACTGGTGCCAATCCACTGTCTAATGAGATGGTATTTTATCCTATATCAAACTTTATTTTCTTTTGTTCATCTATGTCCACCCGTTTCTCTGGGTTCCTAATTGAAAGCTACGATGAAAACTATTTATCTATTTATTCTGTCGTCCTTTGGTGGGTGCAAGCTCAGTGGACAGGGTTTTCTTGATTCAAAGATCTTTGACTCCGCATTCTTTAAATTTTTTACAATTTTTTCTGAGAGATCTGTTTGTTGTGAATCTCTTTTAATCTTTTTCAACTTTGTCAGGTTTCTTTTCCACCCAAGAAATGGAAGAACTACTTGCTCTTCTAGTCTTTTTCTTACATTTCAGTTTCATTGAATATTTATACATTTTGGGCTTTTAAATTTGTTTTTTTTTTTGTGATAATGTTATCAATTTAAGAATTTTAGTCGGTTATCGATAGGAATAATTGATTTTACCGTTGTGAATGTTTACACTTATGTGAACATATTGGCACATTCAATGTCTTTCTCCATTATCATCGGAGTTTTTTTTTTTTTTGTGGGTAGATCAGTGGGGAATACAGGCCCCTGCCCCTGTTATAATCGGAGTTTCTTATTCCATTTCCTGTTTTCTGGTTTTATTACTGTCCCATTTGTAGTTTTACTTGGAAGGAGGTTGCGAATTGGGGATTTATATGGCACATCTGCCTCGTGGAACCTTGACTTGTCATTTAAAAACCAGTCAATTTGAGAACATTTGTAGTTTTGTGAGCTTTCTGATTTCATTTCAAAAGAATACAAAGAGAACATATGGTAGAAACATAATCAATGTCCCCATGGTAGAGGCACAAGTTTGATTTATAAAACTATCTGATGCATTTACCATGATCTTGATAAAACCTCTGCCAATTCATGCTATTTGGGTCAATCCACTGAAGTACTTAACATTCCAATAAAGGGGATGGATTGAGATTCAACCCTTAAACAAATGCTAACTTCAGCAAACTGTTTTAGACCATCTAATTGTATTGTCTTCAGGGCATTGTTTCTCTACATTGAACTGGGTAGTTTATTTGAATATACCCTCCATTTTCTTTGGGTATGGCACTCAAAGTAATCTGTTACTGGATTACGTTGTGAAGTTTTTGCATGTTGTCATCTTTCACTTTTCAATATAAGCATCTCTTGAATAGTATATAACCTCACGCTATGTATTTTACAGGCAGCTGGTGCACTATCTATCAAAATTGGTGAGTGTTGGAATATATTTTGTTTGTGCTTTTGACTTTATTATATATATGTTTTTTCTTTTATTAGTACTTTTTAATTTTTAATTTATGTTGTGCTCTTCATTACATGCTTTTTATCAGCGTTTGAAAACGCTGCTCAGCCATGGAACTCGGGCCCTGGGCAGTCCAAGTGACTTGGGCGAGTTTGAGTTGACTCACCTGAGCTTGCATTGAGCAGCTGAAAGAGCAAAAGAACCCAAGCAAAAAGGGGAAAATCCTTAAAAGTTGGTAAACATCAGGAGAAAAATAAAAATAAAAACAACATAAAATTTATAAAAAAGGTGAGAAAAGATGAAAAATGGAAAACAGGAAAAGAACATTTTGTCCAAAAAGAGAAAAAATAGGAAAATATTAAAAATCATAAAAATAAAAAGTATACGCAACATAAATTTTAAAGGTTAAACCAGTCATAATTAATTATAAATTACTTATATATACACATCCAGAGTTAGGGGGCGCTCAGGGCTCTGCAGGAGTGAATTGGGCTAGACAAACACTGCTTTTGCATTTTTTAGGTTATTTTGGTTAGGGAAAGCTGTTATCTGTCGGACATTTGAGAAAGTGACTTTGTTTATGTACGAAACCATATGACTTGCAGGAAAGAGACCCAGGGACTTGTTGAATCCAAAAGCTGTTAAATATATGCAGGCAGTATTCTCGATAAAAGATACACTTTCCAAGAAAGAAACACGCGAGATCAGTGCACTTTGTGGTGTTACTGTTACACAGGCAGGTGCCTTTTCTCTTGCCAATTCTTTGCTACTCATGCTGATCTATATTTGAACTTATATTAAAGGATGATATATGGTCTTTTATATGTATTTGTAATGGCACTAAGGATAATCATAAGCTAGGGATCTTTATTTTTGATGCCATTCAATTTAGAATAGCATATTTCGCTTCTTATGTCAGGCCTACTACAGACAATTTCATATATTTGTTTCATATCATCCATGTAATGTCTTTGCTAGCATACAAGATCTTCCAGATTAATACAGAGAATATTGTATCGCGTTCACACTTCACAATAGCAGTTCGTGAATATATATATATCAAAATAAGGTTTATGAGAAGTTTTTTTTTTTTTGGTGAGGAAGGTTTATGAGAAGTATTGACTGATAAGAAAAAGCTTCCTGAAAATATGTACGGTCACACAAACTCACATTTTGGGGGCATATACAAGCTAGAACTAATCTATACTAGCTTCTTAATGCCTTATGATGTGCATTTGTCACATGGGGCAATTAGAACCCTTGATTTTGTTCTCATCATTCACAGTCATGAGATCTTTCCTACCAAAACTATTGTCCGAGGCTGTCCTCCAATATATGAACTAATCCCAACAGGGCACTACAATATGTCTTCCATCTTACTTATATCTAATTATTTGGCAAATCACGCGTCTTGGCCTTTCTATGCACTGAAAAAGCATACAACTAGAAACATTTGGTGGTGAAAACAGTTCCCCCAATGAATAACTTAATCAGAATTAAAGCCCTTGCTTGGCACTTCTCATCATAAAAATGGGGTTCCATCTAGAAAGAATTATGTGGATGCACAGTTCCGCTTTTAATCCTACAAATAATATCTCAAAATACCCTTAGTATTAAAATATTAGAACTTTATTGAAGATCTTCTAATGTTTTGCACATTGCTAGTCTCCCTGAAATCTAAAGGTTTTCTTAATTTTGGGCCATATTTTTTACTCCAAATACACCTATCGAAACCAGTGCTTGAAAACGTGGCTTGGCTGCAGAACTCAGGCCTGGGGCGATCCAAGTGACTCAGGTGAGTCTAAATCTCTTCCCCCGAGTCTGTGCTGAGCCACACAAAGAGCAAAGAAAACCCAAAAAATTTGGGGAAAATCCTGAAAAATAATATAAAAAGAAAATTCAAAAAATTATTAGGAACAAAAGTAACGCATCAAGCAACAATATCAACTTCAAAGTTTAATCATAACCCATCAAGCAAAAGTAACCCATTATATTTGTTTTTTCTTCCGCTCTATTATCATCTTCAAAGCTCAATCATTCAAAACAGAAGAAGCAAATAAGTCTTGCCAGGAGAAAATGGTAATAAATTTTTTGAGAGAGAGAGAGAGAGAGAGAGAGAGAGAGAGAGAGAGAG